TACAAAACAATAATTTTGCCTGTTGTTTTGTATGGGTGCGAAACATGGTCTCTCACTCAGAGGGAGGAACACAGATTGCGGGTGTTTGAGAATCGGGTGTTGAGGAGGATATTTGGGCCTAAGAGGGAAGACGGTGGGGCGTGGAGAAAACTGCACAATGACGAGCTTAAAAATCTGTACTGCTCCCCCAGTCTTGTGAGGGTGATTAAGTCGAGAAGAGTGAGATGGGCGGGACATGTAGCGCGCATGGATGGGACAAGAGGTGTGCACTGGGTACTGGTTGGGAAACCTGAAGGGAAGAGACCGCTGGGGAGACCTAGACGTAGATGGGAGGATAATCTCAGGCGGGATCTATGGGAGATAGGAGTTGAAGGAAACTGGATTTTGTTGGCCCAGGACAGGCTTTGGTTAATTCGGTGATGAACCTTCGGGTTCGGTAAGCCATCTAGTTAGTTAGTTAGTCAGTCAATATTCAAGAATGCGATGTGCTGCTTTTGGAGCAGTGATAATGTGACTGGCCTGGTAGTGAAGCGTTATTTGTTTACTCGGCATTGTTATGTTGTACTCAGCAACAATGCCGAGTAAACAAATATCTGTTGACATTGTTGATAACGTCATTTTTGACGTAAATACGTCTATATTTTCGGGTCAGTGTCATTCGGCAAAAAGTGAAAGGAAAAAGTGTAACTGCATTGTTATGTTACCTTGGAAACTTCAATTGTTTACTCGGCATTGTTGTTACCTAAAAAACATTTCATTACATTACCTTACCTTACATTACCTTACTTTACATTACCTTACCTTACATTACATTACCATACCTTACATTACATTACCATACCTTACCTTCCTTTCCGTATAGATGTATTTACGTCTAATTCTCCGGAACTGTGGTTCCACTATCACTTTTTGAAGACAACGACTAATCACAAGTTTTTATAGTAGATGACAATAAATAAACCTAAATTCCTTGGAATTTTTGGGAGGAAGAGGGTAATCAGGTCAAAATGATTTATGTTATTTTTAGCAAGTGTTAATGAAACTCATATTCAGAGGTAGTATGTACAGATACCATGTTGTTCTACTCGGGCTAACTGTAACATTGTAATTTCCAGGCACAGATCCAAAGTCTGTATTGTGTGCATTTTTCAAGCAAGGCCAATGCTCAAAGGGTGATCGTTGCAAGTTCTCACATGACCTTGCCCTGGAGCGCAAGGCAGAGAAGCGTAGTATGTACTGTGACATGAGGGATGAGGGGGATGACACAATGGAAAACTGGGATGAAGAGAAGCTAAAGGAAGTTGTTGAGAAGAAACATGGCGAGGCAGAAAGGAAAATGCCACCCACTGATATTGTAAGATGAATACCCTAACTAACTGCAAGATACAGACTTCCTTTAACAGCTGACAGATATTCAGTTGATCATGACATTCCCTGTTGTTATGGAAACTGAAGGTTTGTCACAGAATAACAATTTATTGACTGTCAAAATAATGTATCAACTGTTACAGGAAGATCTTTTCACAATGTAGTTAGGTATTAGTTTGTTAAAGTGAATGGTAAAAGTGGAGATTGTGCTAGCTTCAAAACTATATTTTATTTCTAGGAACACTACACAGAAAGTGCTTTGAGAAGTCTGGCATTTTAGCCTGCAACACTTTAATACATTCAGCCCTGACTGGGATATTCATTAGATTGTACCTGCAGCCTTTAAATTTTAACCCAAGAGAAAAGTTTCTATGACTATACAGAACTAACTAATGCACTGGTTTTTTTTATTACATGTTCCTTAAACTCTTCTCTGTGTGTATTTAGGTGTTGTAAGAGCCATTGACTGACTTGTATAAACTGTAACAACAATTGTTGAACCATGTACAACTTTGGAAATTTTCATTTGCTGGCTTGTAACAGAGGAAAAGCTCTGTTGGTAGTTTTTGATAAGAATCTGAATGTGTTAAGTTCTGATCAGTTTATAGGACGAGAGAGGAATACAAGTCAAATGAATCTGGTTGTTCCATACCAGCATCTTGTTGCAGTCAATTTTATTATGTTTTTCTTATGTATGTTTATATTTCTTTTTAAATTTAGATTTGTAAATTCTTCCTTGAAGCTGTGGAGAAGAGTAAATATGGTTGGTTTTGGCAGTGTCCTAATGGATCGAGCTGCATCTACAGACATGCTTTGCCACCTGGTTTCGTTCTCAAGAAGGTTAGGAAAAGATCACATTGCATACAGTATGGTCCTGCTGAGAAAATAGTACTTTTTTTTGTATAATGTGTTCAGGAGATTTGTTCCTTCAAATCATTGGGGATAACTTTGCCTATACCTTCAGAATCCTGTTGCTAAACTGCTTCTCTCTGGCCCTTTCCTTATTTATTTATAATACATGCTCTTTTTCTTCCTGGTGCTACAGGGTTTGATTTTAACCTTTGCTTCCTCAACCATAGTTCTCCATAGGGAAGTAGTGAGATATTCTTTATCCTCCTAGATATCAGAGAATTTGTTGCGAACTTTTTAGTGGCATAACATCCATACTATATTTAATCAAAATACTTCTAGTAGTTCTTGAGTTGAAACAGACAAACCAGCTCTCTGTATGTTCATTTCATGCACATTGTACAACTGTCTGTTGACTAGGAATTCAAACCATTAATTTAAAATATTGCTAAATGATGATGGAATATACTGATGTGATGGTCTCGGTTAAATGCCAAAATTCTTTTCATCTAACATCCAGTCAAATTTGAGGTTTTCATGGTGGTGTGTATGAAGATAGCTGTCTTCTGGGTTGTAGCACCATGTAGCATAATAGAAGTTTACCAATGTTTCAGATGTTCTTGCTGCTTGCATTGTCATCACCCTGATAATGGAGCAGAGAGGACTTTTGAAACATTGGTAAATTTCTACCTGACTTCACAGTGTTACAACCCAGAAGACAGTCATCTTCCATCTAACAACCACTTGCACTGTAACATAAGAAATACATATTACCAAGCACAGACACATTTTCAGTTCCATGTGTACCATTTTTTATGCCTTGGTCTGCTTTGCTGTAGTGAGTGAAAAATTACATCATCTTGGACAAGCATCATTGGTTTGAATTTGGACAGAAATAAAGAAATATGTGATTCAGTAATTGTATTTTACAGATTAAATTACAAGGCAGTTGTAACATTTTTATACACCTTTAATGTCTAACCAACTAATTAGAGGGCTTACGGAACCCGAAGGTTCATTACTGAATTAACCAAAGCCCTCCACTGGTCCTTGTTTTGGGCCAACAAAATCCAGTTGCCTTAAACTCTTATCTCCCATAGATCCCACTTGATATTATCCTCCCATCTATGTCTAGGTCTCCCCTGCGGTTTCTTCCCTTCAAGCTTCCCGATCAATACCCAGTGCACCCCATTTCCCCCATCTATGTGTGCCACATGCCCCGCCCATCTCATTCTTCTTGACTTAATCACCCTGACAATATTGGGGGAGGAGTACAAATTTTTAAAATCTTTCAAAATATTGTGTTGCATTATTAAATAATATAGTGAACCTGTGATCCGAATGTACAAACAAAGTTGTGTATGAAGATTTGGAAGATGCATAGAGATAAATCATTAAAATAATAGCTTGTAGCAAACACATTTCAAATTTATTGTAGCATTTGGGGAAAGATGTGGTTTTTGAATTTTATGTTGGCATCTTTTCTGTTTTATAACATGTATGTACTAATTTCTATAGGGAACAAGAACACGCAGTTCTTGCTCTCTATCAATTTATTCATATCTTACAAAAATAGTTGGTGTCTTTGTAGGACAAAAAGAAGGAAGACAAGAAAGATGAAATTTCACTTGAGGACTTGATTGAGCGTGAGCGAGCTGCACTGGGTTCAAACCTGACAAAAGTCACTCTGGAGTCGTTTCTTGCATGGAAGAAGCGAAAGGTGAAGGAGAAGAAAGAAGCAGCAATAAAGGAAGAGGAAAAGAAGCGGTTAGACTACAAAGCAGGACGGCAGGTTGGGGTAAGACATGAGAATTAGTCTGTGGCTCATCTGTGTTACTTTTAATCAATAGACGTGTTAATTCTTTGAAGTTGAAACTGGTATGCAAACTTATTTGTAATTATTTAATTCAAATTTACTTGTGTCTGGTGCAGATATCTGGACGTGAAATGTTCTACTTCAATCCTGACCTGGCAGCAGCTGATGAGTTTGAGGAGGGAGATGAAGCATTTGAATCTTACAATCTGGAGGAAGATGATGGACAGAACAGTGTTGAGGTACTGAATTTCCCTTACTGTGGAATAAGTTTCAAGATTGTTGTCTGGAGCTCACTCAGCTTCCTATCACTGGGTACTGGGAGTAAAGCAAGCACAGCATGAAGCTGTCTGTTTACCTCTGTCTAGTGTTGACGTTAAGATTGTGTAGAACTTCACCTCCACTCCCCTTATGACGTGGTGTGGTGACAGGAGAAACTTCATCTGTTAATTTCATGTTCATTGATTAACCCTTGGACTGTGACAGCTAGTTTTTGCAGCAGTAATTTTCTAGACTTGTATTTGTCAGGTACTCAGATTGAATCTCAACTGGGATACCAGTTACATAGTTACATTAACTGAATGTTTTCGGGTTCTGCCTCAGTTGTCCAAGTGGCTGTTGGATTAGTACACTGAAACATCATTGCCCTCTCTTTCCTAATCCTCTCCTGTTTAGTATTCTTGATCATCTGCTCATCTCATTCAGCACCATACAACCTCTACATTTGTAATATCATTAAATAAGCAATGAATGCTTTTGTCATGCAGTCTGGAAGAGTTTATCCAGAGTTTAATTTCTCATCTTGCAGCATGTCTTCAAGTGTAAGAGGGAGTGATATCTCATGATATACCCTTTGTATTGAGAAACCTCTCTTTGCTGTTATAATGATCAGAAAGGCAAAGTAATTATGCTCTTTGTCTTAGCCAAACACCTGATTCCTTGTGTATTGGCCCTCTTTGTGTTTGTGAAAGATCCTAAAGTGATTCTCTTCTTACACAGTGGTATCAGTTTGCTGTGAGTCTTTTTTTATTATTGGCAGTATCGTGAGATTCAGTTAGATGTTTTGGCAATGGAGGCCCAGGAACCAGATGGGACAGGAACCCAAGCCACAGAAGATCGATTGAAAGGCAAGGAGACTGATCATAGTACAAGAAATGGAGAGGTCATCTCACCTGGTATGTTGCCATTCTTATTTTAATTTAAACACTTGACAGTTGTCAGAGTAATACATTTACATTCATATTAATATTTTAATAGTATTAGGCCCAGTTTGGTTCATAGGAAGTATGAAGCAGAATATTGTTTAACCTTATGAGTCTTCTGAACCATTTCTTCATGTTGGTGTTTTAATGGAATTCTATCAAAGTTATTCATTATCTAATGAAATGTCCTTTCCAGTGGCTCCTGTTTATGATTTTCATTCATCTCTTTTATGGTCAGAAAGGGTGTAAGCTGCTCTGTCACTCATGCATGAAATGCATTTGTTGCTTTTATATTATCTCCTAAGCCCTCATCATGAACCATGCTTCACTGCCACATGTTGTTAGTTTAGCAATCAGTTTGTAAATTTTTATTCTTGTGTCTTGAGAGTAGTAATGGTTTAAAGATTGGTTTATTACACCCAGGGCTTTTAATTTACTGTATATTTGTTGGTTAATGACTGATGCTATGGTATTGATCGATATGCCATTTTATCTTTTTCCGTTAATATTGTTACGATATGCTAATCACATGTTCTGACTGGAGTTATCATGGTGCAAATTCATTATACTACTTTATAAAGCTTAATTAAAATAATGATGTATCCTTGTATATTTGATAATACAGACTGTTTATTGTTACACTTGACAGATCCAGATGGAGAAGGTGAGGGTGCTGGAGCTGTGCCTATCAATGAGAATCTTTTTATTGATGATGATGAAGATTTAGATGACTTGGATGAAGCAGTAGATGACCTGGATTTGGAACAGTGACCCTGGTGACAAGCCAAGTCTGGTCTTGGTTGTGCATCATTTGTAGCATGTGTACTTGTGAAAAATTGTGCATCTAAATACTGAGTTTAAATTATTAACATCCTCTGTTGCAAAGATGCAAAATGTTGACAGAAACTGAAACTGCACTTCCGGGAAGTTTCGCAGTATCAGTCTCCTTTCCAAAGCATAAGTAGTACTGTACTGAATATGTATATTATTCATGTTATATAGTACTGACCCTATATCAAACAAATGTTCATTAAATGAAGAGCTGGTGAAATACAGTGAAACCTCGATGCATCGTTTTCGGCGGGGGTGGGAAATAAAAACGATGAATGCGGGAAAACGATAGATGCGGGAAAGCATTAAAAATTTAAAAAAAAACAATGTTTCTCTTTCAAAGTTACTTCTTTTTACCAAAAAAGTCTTTAATGGACAACTGGTTTGTCGAAACTTTACGTTTTAGACCAAACAGAGCACTTTCCACGTTCAAAAGGTTTTCCTCGTCACGTTCACTAATATTAAGCGCATAAAAGAACAACTTCACTTTCGCCAATGCAGCGTGCGCTTCGGCAAAACTCGGCAAAGCTTCGGGCTCGCATTCGTCGTCTCCCTCTTCCTCACCACTCCAACCCCCTTTGCGGACAATAACAGGAAGAATGGAAATACTATTACTGCCGAACTCAACGAAACGTAGCTGTAGAAGACACGAGATGAACCAGAGAATGAAAAAGTTTCGCTCGCCTTTCCTTTGTACTTATAATAAAAGCATTTGTGAAGAAATTCACACTGCACATGCCATCTGGCATCGCTGGAACGAAATATGAGTGCACCCTAATTAAAATCGTAAAATTTCTGACAATAAGCACCGCCATTCACTCCAACTATCACCCCTGCACCGCTGACCCCTCATTCCAAAAGAATCTGTGCTGGTTGGGCGACATAACAGGTTACCGCTACTGTTTATTCCAAAAACATTGTGCGTCTTTCGGTATTAATTTATCTCTAAACCCAGCATTTTAAATTCTCAGGAACGATCATTGCGGGAAAATTGTGGGCCGGGACTAAGATTTTTGAACGATCGATGCGATAAAACGATAGTTCGAGGAACGATAGAAGCGGGAAAATGTAACATTATTTTATATGGGATGTATTCGGGACCGAACAAAACGGACGATGCATCCGGGAAAACGATAGTTCCGGGAACAATGGATAGAGGTTTCACTGTGTATCATAATCATTTGACTTGTGGTTCAGATACTGCACAGTTTCTGTGTTGGTTTCTGGCTGTGATTCACTTCCAGATTATTGTTTAAGGATCCAGTGTGTAATAAAACATTCACAGCTTTATAATGTAGTGCTTTAAGTTGAAATGTTTACTAATTTTAATAAAAAACTCTTCTATTAAAGAATGAAAATATTGAAGTTTGCTAATTTAAAAATTTGCCGTGTCAAATACTGGTACTATTAGATGAACAGCCATGAACATCTGTTTGATATTTCTGTGCCAGTACCCATCTACAGTTTTAATGAAGGCTGTTATTTTAACTGCAACACTTAACTGAACATTCATATGTCAAATTTTAAGACATGTTATAGAAGTGTTGTAAATGCAGTGGATTTGAAAAAGATATTAGTTTGGAAGTACATTTTGCGGGAAATGTTATGTTATTCTCTGATATGGAAAACATTACTTAAAATGTAATATTGATTGAGTAGTGTTAGGTAATATATTGTAACGTGGGGCGGTATTGCTACCCTGGATTGTCAACCTTAATTTATTCACGTCAAATTAAATCAGTTACAGAGGTCTGCACATACAGTCAACTCTCTACAACAACACACTCGAGTCTCTGTTCTCTGTGCACACACACACACACACACATACTCTCACACTGTCCTTCGAGTCTATCTGGTCCCCCGAGCTCTGCTCTTCACACTCTTCGCTTACACGTCGGCCCGTAGCACCCCACTGGACACACGCTGGCTCCTCAGCCGCCACGGTCCACGAACCCGGTGCTCTCACATGCAGCCGACCTGTCCTTTCTCAGCGCCACACCAGACCTCTCGTTGGCTCCACTCTCCCGATTCTACCACACACTTCTCTTACGCCCGATTCACAGCTCTGTTCTTTCCACACTCATTGCTTATCGCTTGCCACCAATGTCCGCAACAGCATATCGCTTGCAACTCACTTCTACATCCTGACTCACACCTCAATGTCAATAAACAGACACAACAATGTCTATAAACGAGTACAACAATGCCAAACGCAACACGTCACAATATATAATTTTAATGATTTAAAATTGTTATTTATTTTGTTCTTTTAATTTCCCAGTTTGTATGGCTGTACCTGGGGATTTGATCAAGTTGAATTGAAATGTGTAATGCTAAAGTGGGTTAATGAATTGTATGCATGAATGTGGTACACCAGGCATGAGCAACAGCAGAATCTGTCCAGATGTTATAGGAGATTGAAATGTGAGTTTATTTGTTCCAGATTCTTCTGCTTTGAATTTTGGTGGTCTGAATTCAAAATCTCATGCCAGACGCTAGCTACCATAAGATTTTCCATGGTTTCCTTTTGTTACTTGAAGGCATAACTGAGCTTGTGTTTCAGAGTAACCTGTGGCCAATTATATTCACATCATTCTGTATTTTGAAGAGATGGCTAACTGAAATGGGTAAGAAACCCTACCTATTCTACCCTATTTGGAAAAGAATAAATTCTTATTAAGGAGGAATTCTGTATATTGTTGATATTGCAGCTCTCTGTAATAATTTCTGTACCATACAGAATGATTTTAGTGCAGAGGGTTTGATGGAGGTGTTTAATCTCTCCTTTCCACTCACACACTTTCATAGGTTCCCTGTTCTCTCCATAACTGCCTGTCTGCTTATATTCAATGAATAATGTAATTTCCAATGTTTTGTATTATCTAATTTAATATATGTACAATTTATTTTTAAGGATTTGCAGGTCTGGTTTGAGATTACTTTTAATTCATTTATTTATACATACTGAATAATAATGCTGATTCCATGATCTCATTAGATAATATATCTTAGTTTTGGGAGGCAGTGTGTTTTGTGTATGTCATATAAAGTACCAGTAATTTCAATATAACATGCATTCATTTTCTAACATTTGTACCATTTGGTTTCATGATCATGAATTATATAAAAAATATACATGTTTCCTAGTTCTCTAAACATGAACTACATTTTGACTTCAAAAAAATAAACAAAAATATCTTCGTGTGTATGTGTTTGTCAAAAATGTATGTGTGCATTTTTTGCCATGAAAATTTTTACATATCCATAAGACACTTTGGTTCCCAATATGCTGATAAAAAGTTAGAAAATAATAATTAAACTAATTATTTATAGCACTGAAAGATATGAAAGAGTTAGAAATCTTATTTTCCATTTGGATTGGGATCTAATAGGATTACTGTTTGGTTTGAGATCTGTAAATAGAATTAACTTTTCCAGACCAAGGTGGTTAGGAATAAGTTATTTTTTGGGATTGGTCATGTCCTGGATAAAAAGACATACAAGAACATTAAATTTATTTTTTGTCCTTTCCTCCTTCAGCTTGCAGAAGAAATAAACACATCTGTGTATTTATGCAGTATGTCCAGTTGGCCACCAGCTGATAAAGTTTCCATACACTCGTGTAAGGTTGCTGCTTGTCATGGCAGAACAAGAAGCAGTGATGAAATAACTAAAGTAACAGTAATGTATGTGAGAGTTAAGTAAGTCCCTGTGACATACATGGCTTGGGAAGTCACATGTTGCACTACTAGCAGACCAAAAGAAGTTGTGCTTGTTCTGATTTTGTGTAAATTTTACTGGTAGTACTAGATAACAATGGAAGTTATAAAACAGTCAGTAATGATAAAACAAATTAATAACAATACTACAAATAGCTGAGTAGAGGAAAACAACAAAGACATGTGGGATAAATATTTGTACTAAAGACCAATGTTCTCCACTCAGGAATTATGCATTCACACATATCTCTTGCCTATTAGGCTGCCTACACAAGTATTTACTAAACTCTTCTGCACAATATGTGTACAGAGATACAGTTTAAATAGTTTATGGTCATTAGGATAGTGATTAATGGTGATACACAGTATTCAGAAATTCACTACTCTACTGCTGCCATTGGCTGATTGTGAACTAGGTTTTCTGCTTGTCAGTTTATGCACTCCACATATATGTGAACAGGATATAAAAAAGTGCAAGTTAAACACCATTTATGTGGGAAAAATATTTATTTGTATAAGGAAGTGATTCTTTGTCTCATAGACTAAAAAAGTATCCATGTCACTACATTGATGAATCTGTTCTAACTTTTGTACAAGTGTTATAATCAAATTCACTTTGTGTTGAATGAAACTTGATGCATTCTCTCAGTTTAAATGCACCAACACCAGCATGGTGTCTTTGTGAATCTGTTAGCCTCATCCATGCTGACTTAAAGAAATAAGATCAAATGCGAAGATTTCTGTCTTCTGGGTGGTTGTGCTGTGTAGTCTGGTCGATGTTAACCAACGTATACTGCCTCCGTCATCAGGGCGCCCTGATGACAGAGGCAGTATGACCTCTGAAACATTGGTTAACATCGACCAGACTACACAGTGCAACAACCCAGAAGACAGAAATCTTCATACTCACTGCTGTGAAAACCTCAAATCTTACAAGATCAAATGTCTCTTACCCCCCACATGATAACCCAAATTTTCTCATTTCAGTTTATAATTTATGAATATTATGGCAAAAATCTCATGCTATGTGGGCGAATTACTTTGGTTTTATAGCTGTAAATTTAAGGAGGGAAAAGAGGGAAAGATATGGAAGGGCAGTGCAGTCTTGCAAAGAAGGAAGACCTTCATAAGTCCTTCCCCTGCACGTCTCACAGAAAGACAAGCCACAAAAAAAAGTGTTCTGTGTCAGAAGAATAGGAAAAGGAGGGAAACAGTATATTGGTGCCAAGACTGTCAAATAGGATTGTGTTTAGATACCTGCTTCAAGGTTTTTCACACCGTGGAGAACTTCTGAGTTTCACTCGCCGACAGTGGTAAGTCTACACATAAAAATACATTTCTTACTGATTGTTATAACCATGAATACAATAAATGAGAGTATTGAAATTTTCAGAATGATTGAATTAATAGTATATTCAGAAATGGCAATTTTGTAAGAAGTAGCATTTTAAAGATCCTGGCGGATTTTAAATACCGGAGCTGCATTACCCCGCAGTAGGAGCGGTGGGATTTAAATACCCAGCTTGAGGGGCTAAATAATGGGCTTCTCAGTTGTAACAGTACATGACACCAAACCTCAAATCTTGCATAGCCTCATGCACAAAACATGTTAAGAGTTAGACAAATTTAACACAGTTATGTACAGTTCACATTAACAGATATTGTAGTATTATAGTATGCATGTTGGTGTATGTGCCAAAGACAATTGGTTGGATCAAGCATGGATTATTTCACGATATCTCAGTCCAGACCATAATCAACAGTCTGCCATGGAATTGTATCGTTCAGCCAATTGAACTAAGCCTACACTTTCACATCCTGTTTTTGTAACATCCATTTTAATTTTGTCTGTGCTCAGATCTTTCATTTCTTGTCTCAGATTGGCCCACTTCCTCAGCCTTTCCTTCCTCTAACCCTATATTAAAATGACATGTTTCCAGTCAAAAACTGCTTGTTTTAAAATTCCTGTATTCTCGACTATTCATCAAGTAGCATTTTGTTTGTAAGGAGGGTGGTATCCAGTTGCAATCTTTAATTTAGCCCACGACACTGGATAAACTGCACGTTTTTGCTTTTTTCCAGTCACTCTGGTCAAATGGTGACATAGTATCTTGAAATAGGTCACGACTGCTTCCTCCGTTCCTTTCTAATTCATGCTCTAAAATTCATAAGCTTGCAGCGTCGCGAAGCATAAAATCTATATGTTATTTGTTGGTTTCTCCGGATATGAGGTTCGACCCATCCTATATGAAAAATCTGGCTTCGAATGTGTACCAAATATAAACTGTGAAATTCTGTCGCTGAATTAATGATTCCATCCAACCAAAACGCAACTGCCATACTTGTGGCCATTATCTGTATCTCTAAGTAACTTGCCGCAGGCAGTTAGCTATGCTGTTGTTTGCTGGCGTATGCCAGTAGGTGGTACAATATACATGTGCAAACAGTGCCATCTATAGTAAATTTGAAGATGGTGGCCGTTGGAAGAAGATTTTATTAGTTAACTTATGAAAATTTTGCCTTCAGTTTTCCATTATTTTACAAAACAGAAGTGATTTGTGGTTTGTTACATTATATACTATTATAAAATGATAATCCAGGAACCCGTTCAGGTAAGCTAGAGCAATTTTTTTGAATCAGTAAGTAGTTAAAGGGCCATAGGCGGATCCTTAAAATTGACAAACAAATGTCGTTCATAAAGTACAGTGTGTTTGTGAAAATATGAACAACATGAGTAAATTTTGCCAGCAGTTTTATGAATTATTGTGCATATAATCCAGTGGAGAATTCCCTGCGCACATACGGGACATTCAGGTGACATGGAACTGACTTTGTAAAGAGTAGGCTAAGTGTTTTAACTCTTGTTTTGAATTACAGGCAGCTATATGGCATTGCCTGAATCATTATGCTTATCCTGACGCAATATTTCTTGCTGAACGCCTGTACGCCGAGGGTAAGTTGTGAGATGTTGATGCTTGTTATTATTATTGTTACTAGTAGTAGTATCTTCTTTGTTCAGTTTTAACATGTCATATTAGTGGCTGCTAGCCTTACCTCATCCCTTTTGGGTTAGTATTTTTATCTATACTTTTTTGTAAACAACTTTACATTAAGGTGACTGGCTGTGTTCACATTTGTGCCAAATTCTTGAGAAAGTGATGCTTTATTTGTATTTAGTAGACCAAATACAACCACAACATATGCTAAATAAACTAATCTGACTGAACCAGATTTGTGACAAATTGAGATTTGTTGAGAAAATGTAAGAAAAATATTTGTATTAGCTTCACTTGTACAACTACAGATGTTATGTGATAATCACTGTAACTGCTTTTAAATATGTTGTGCACAATATCTGGTTACCATATTGTAGTTTTCTAGAGCATTCACATACCAGCATAATGTATGGTAGATTAGATTATGTTGGGCTTAGTTTAGATTGGGATGGTAGTGAAAGCGAGGATCATCATCCAATGCAGCAGTTCTACATGCCATAGATATAGAATGTAACAAGAGCATTTTATTCTATGTGAAATATGTTTTTGGCAAAGTTAGCTAACTCTTGAAGTATTTTTGGGTATTCTTTCCTTCCTTGGAACGTTGTGTAAGAATTAAACTTGAACTTAACATCAGTAAGGGGTATGTTATATAAATGAACTTGGGCTAATGAATCTGTAAACCAACAAACTGACTCCGTGACACATGGTTTTCCTCAAACATCAAATAATAATTGAACTGTTCAAGAAAGTTCCAGTTCTTGAATCTGAAGGTTTATCTTCTCCCAAGCCAGTTGATACTTTTGCACCTTAGCAGGTAAATAGTTTCAGAATCAAGATGGCTGTCTTCTGGATTGTAGTGACTTGCAGTGTGGTAGAAGTTTACTGACGTTTAGAGGACCTTGCCACCTCCATCATTAGGGTGATGAGTATTGATTACCCTGATGATGGTGGCAGCAAAGGCCTCTGAAATGTTGGTAAACTTTTACCAGACTACATGACACTACAACCCAGAAGACAGCCATCTTCATACTCCCTGCCATGAAAACCTCAAATCCTAAATTTTAGAATAATGTTTCAGATGCAGGTACTTCACTTGTTGAATGCTTTAGTGTTTGGAGTTTATGCTTTTATGTTGGTTAGAACGGTCTCACATATATTTTACAGGACTTGATGTGTTTCTAGAACCTTGATTCTTGAATATTGTTGCTCTGTTTCATCCCTGTGAGAATGATGCTGCATGTTTTTAATGACACAAACAATATTCTTATGCCATGTGTTTGTCTCTTCCCCCCCCCCCCCCAGGTGTCTCAAAGCCATATAAAGTAATTACTAGGATATGTTTTGGTTGTGGGAATTATTGTATTCATAACATCATTGCCATTTTCACCATATGACCTGTAGCAAAATGAAACAAGATGCAAAGCATTAAATGAAAGATGTTTCAATTGTACGTTATTATATTCATTATATACGACATTACGACATTATGTACGACATTATATTCAGTTTGGTTATTTTCCTTCTGCTGGTCATATCCTAAGAGACACTAATTGGAACACACTTTTTCAGTAAATCATGTGCTCTATTATGTAATGTCACCATGCAACATGCTTATTTGTTTTGACCATTGATAATCTATAACAAAATGTTGGGGACTTCTTGAGTGCGTAGTGGTTTTATTGGAAATTTCTATGCCTGAGCTCTCTGTAGTGTGTGTACTCTGTTGTGTTGAATGTTCTTATTGCACTTCTTTTCTTCCACTCTGATAATAGGCAGTGTATTACAGTACTGTACTAATTTCTAAATATACATTTGGTCTGACATTTCAATGTAATGGGAGAGTGTTGGAATGGGGAAACAACCTGTACCAAGTTGTCTGCCAGTGTAATGCAAGCTGTTAGTTCAACTCAACAAACACTGGAATGGAACACAGACAAAACATGCAGTTGATTCCATGGTACACAGACTTCTTGAGCAGTGTATAGTTTATGTAGCTGACTGAGAAATTTTCTGTTGTTGTTAAACTGTGGGTCATCAGTGTGATTAAAAACTCTGACAACTGGACCATATCCTGAACTACTGCATTTAAATTCACATATTCATAATTTGTCTTTAATATTGTTGTTGTTGTTTCTTGGCTGTACAACCCATTTGTTGGTCTTCGCCGCCTCCTGTTCGGAGCTTTCCTAGTTTTTGAAGTGTTCATTTGTAAGTAGTGAGTGACCAGCCCACTGACTGTGCACAATTTGTACTCGATCCTGATTTTGCTGCCAGAGCCACCTAACAGTGAATCAGGAGACTTGGGTGAGAAATGGCCGCTGAATTTTGCTTACGAAACATCTCGTTCATGCTTTTAAGGTTCTTTTACATGCCATAAATCTACGACATGGGACCGCCAGCTTTACTTCCCCTCTGAGGGAAGTTGTGCTACGGTTTTTATCACCCTTAAAAATCCATCGACCTCGGTCGGGTTTGAACCTGCAAACCTTGGGTTCAGTGGCCAGCATGTTAGCCACTAGTCCACAGAGGACATGTCTAATATTATTTCTGCTATTATCTTTTTACCTACACTTAATTGTCTGAAGTGATCTATTCCCTTTTTGCTTTCATGTACCAACAAAGCAAGTTTCTCTCAATAGAACTATAAGAGAATATGTCAGTACCAAAGCCTGCCATTTGACATGATCTTGAACCATTTCAGTCTGCTTTATTTCTTCAAATCCAACTTTTTAAAGACAAATTTTAATATAATTTTTCAGTTTGAGTTTAGGTCTATTGAAAGTTTTCATCTGAAATCCTGTATGCATTTCTTGTTTCATCCATGCTACATTGAATGTCTTGTTGATTTAACCCTCGAAAGCCCATTGTTTTATTTTATTTGCAGTTGAAACTGAATGTTTAAATATTATTTAGACGAACTTCAGCATCAAGAGGTTAAACTAGTTTACAAATCATCACTGTGTTGTGTACATCATTTTGAACTATAAGTGGGTTTCAGACAGACACTGGCTTGTCAGGGAAGTTAACTTGTAACTTGGGAGACTGATCAGAATGTAATTACATTACCTCATAACCCTATATTTCTGTGTTTGCAATCTCTAGTGGACTCAGATGATGCATTGTTCTTGCTTGCCACCTGCTACTATCGATCGGGAAAGCCAGGGCAGGCATATTCTATTCTGCGTAACAAGGCAACCAGTTCAGCACAGTGCAAATACCTCTTGGCCAAGTGCTGTCTGGACCTGCATAAGTAAGTACAGCTTTAAACTCTTCTTGATTTATGAAATTTCAGACGAATATAATCAAGTTCTGCTCATAACACATACAATTCAGACTTCTGAAATGTGTGCTGAGTAATCTCAAACCATTTAGTATAATGAAAGAAATTTCCCCTTGTACCAGTGCAGTAGTACATGTTAAGAGTCTGTAACTATCTTCCAGGCTCAAAGATAATGATGATGAAGGATCTGTGGAATATAATAAATTTTATTTTATTCTCTTCTGTTATTTTATTAATTAAGCACTTGGACAGTTTCACCATTTGTATTGAACTGTGGAAGTTGCACAGTGTATCCTTCTCCCACAAATTGTATTATTTTTGTTCATAGGTTCAGTGAAGCAGAATCAGTTCTTACAGGTGGTGACACAGCTCGATCACGAAGCTTTGATGAGTTGGTGTCTGAGTTTGGTGATCAGGCCTGCTTTGCACTACAGATCCTCGCTCGCATCTGCTCGCAAAGTGAGAGATGCAGCAAGGCAGCAGAAGCATGTGTGAAAGCTCTGAAGTTAAATCCTTTCCTGTGGAATTCGTTTGAGGAACTGTGTAACCGTGGCGAGAAACCGGATCCTTTTCGGACATTCCAAGTGTCACACTTAGAGAACTTCACAATGTGTCATGGGAATAATCCAATGGTGAATTTTGTGAATAATTTTGAACACAATAGCTGCAATAACATCACTAACAGCAGTGCAACCAACAATGAAGCAACAGTTTTAAACACTATTAGCAGGTATAGTCCCAGTATTTTGTTTTTATTACTGTAAAATTTCAGGTTACTGAGGGGAGTGATGCTTATAAACATGCCTATAGGCCTAAACCTTACACATTCATTATCATAAATGCCTGTCCTGTTGATGTTATGTTGAATTGGTATGTATTGGGTAACACTGTTAAGGATTTCAGAATTAACACAAAAATTATCACACTAACAGACACACAACTTTAAGTACATTGTGTAGGAGATTTCTACTCCACTTTACATCCTACAAATGTTACATAATTGCACTTGTTCATCGCCACTATTTCTTTTATACAACTGTAAAATTAAAATAACCAATATTATCTTCATGAGCTTACTTCTTTGTTCTGTGACTTTATGTTTTTAGAGTACCCAGTGTGAAGACATAGCAATAAAACACTAGGAAATTGTTATGGCATGATGAGAAGGTAACCAAAATTATTAATTTGTTCTTGTATCATAGTGGACAGACTGGGACCCAGCAGATTAACTTACAGGCATGACATAAGCAGTCCAGAATTCTTGAAAGGAGCATTATTACTGAGCTTTTAAATAATTCAGGCTCTGTTTCAAAAGCAGAAATAGATTTACATTCAGATTGTGCACCATCTTGAATTATTGAAGCAAATTCATTGTGATTCTGAATAAGGTGAAGTAACATAGTGAAAAGATTCAAAATGATTGATTTAGGATTAGAGTGCAGAAATGTTGACACCTCAGTGCTGTACATTCTGTTCACTTTAAATATAGGCTTAATGCATCTCTCACCATTCACTGATGGAAGTGGTTCCTCATTTACTACAATAAAAATGAAGGAAAACTAATGTGCAAGATGACATTATGGCTGCCAAGGATGCATTAAAACTTCCAAAATCAAAATTGTCCTGTCCCTAACTTCTGACTTCGGTCTGATCCAAAAGCCTAAATGATGTGACAGTTGGTCAAGAAATGGCATTTATGATTCCTACTATCTTTCGTCTCTTAACATGTCCTATAATAAATGTTTTGTAAGTCTGACCATACTTTATCTGAGCAAAATATAATGCTTAAGGAAATTTAATTTTTATGTGATTTCGTGACAGTATTTTGGGCACTGTCCCGCACCATAGCCGTGCGGTCTGAGGCATGATGCTACAGACCGATGATACAGTATGCATGCTGGTTCGAGTCTCGGGGAAAGAAATTTCTCATGAGATTTTTGACCGGTGTATGGGACCGGTGCCAACCCAGCATCGTGAGGAAATTGGGGAGCTACAATAAATAAAATAATAAAAATAAATCCGTGGTGTAACAGCCCCAGAGAGCCAAAGCCGACTAGCTTGACTGCTGGCCTCACATTCACATGCCTAAGCAGAGGTGAACGATCATCCAGCCAGATATAGGGTGACGTGTGGTCAGCATGACAAACCCCCAGCCATTGCTAGCTTTCCTGACCGGATTACGCTACCCATTGTAGCTCCCCAATTTCCTCGCGATGCTGGATTGGCACCGGTCCCATACACTGGTCGAAATCTCATGAGAAAATTTCTTCTCCCTCGAGACTCGAACCAGCGCGCATTCCGTATCGCCGGTCTGAAGCATGATGCCTCAGACCGCGCGGCTACAGCCTGGGACGGGGAGCTACAATGGGTAGCGTAATCCGGTCATGTAAACAAGCCATGGCTGGGGGTTCGTTGTGCTGACCACAAGTCACCCTATATCTGGTTGGATGATCGTTCACCTCTGCTTAGGCATGGGAACGTGAGGCTAGCAAGTCGGCTCTGGCTCTCAGAGGGCTGTTATGCCATGGATTATTATTATTTTGGGCACTGTTAGACTTTTAGAGTGGCAGTGGCTTTCTGCAAAACGCATGTTTTTCGTGAAAAATCAAGTTGTGCTACATAATGAGGAAGCTCATACATTTGTTATATTATAAGAGACCATTGGGAAGAATCAGTTGTTGATGAGAGGATGGATAATACAATTGAAATAGGGTGTCTGGATGTGAACTCAACCTGGCCCAGGATTAGGTCCAGTGGTGATTTCTCTTCAACACGTTAATGAACCTTCAGGTTACATAAAAGGCAAGGAATTTCTTGACTAATGAGGAACTGTTGTCTGTTGAACTATTACTCTGTTCCATATAATTAGTTAGTTACAACATCATCTTAGTTACATTATCATCATCATCATGTTTAGCTTTTGTTGGGACATCCACATTTATAGTGGTAAAATCATATCACCCATCCTAAAGGATTAAGTGTAACTTCCTGTCATTTACCAATTCTGTTTTCTTAATAGCAGTTTCAGGGCACTTCTTGCTAAAAACCATTTTCAAAACTGTTTTCTTTGATTCCCTTTCCATATTAAAATACATAGATTCCTTTTGACACCTATCCCTGTCAGGCAATGTAATGTCCTTTGGTCCTCATTTTTCTGGTTGTATTCCCCAAGTGTATATCTTATATAAACTCACGATATTCCAAGTACCAATTTTCGTCATCATCTAGCAGCCATGTAATTAGGCCATTGGTTGACCTGTCCTGGAGTCACTTGTCCAAATGTGTCTTTATATATATATAGGTTGCCTGTCATTTTTCAACCCATGTGATTTGTAGTTTTTAAGTTTTGGATATTTGTCTCTTTGCATTATGTCAAAATACAGAATCCAATTGCTTTTATATTTAAAAAATTGTCCAGTGTAGTTTTTATCCTTAGTTCTTTTAATATTTATTCATTTTTTATAGTCAGTTGAAGTGTTGTTACTGCGCTTCTCATTACAGAAAACCCTTCTCCAGCACATATTTGCCCAGCACAGATTCTATTGTATGTGTGAAAAAAAATGTAAACAATTATTTTCCAAACATGAAAATTGTTATTGTACATTGTCTGCCAAACATGCTGTAGTAGCATAAAAAGTATAGCACTGCTCTGAAGAGCTAAATCACCCATTTCTTCTTGTGTTGATCCCAAACTATCAGCATTTGCATCTGATATGATGAAGTTTGAGTCATAATTGTATGTTAACATTTTATTTTAATACCTAACGTTCTGTTGATGTTTTATTATAAAGTCTATCTTTTTGCTGATGTTACTTTAATGCCTTTCCAATGATACTTTATTATATCACTCAGTTTGTTCATAAATAAATGTCATTACAGTATATTTTTAATTTTATTGTTTATTGAATTTGACTTTACATGGCTGCGTTTCCATATCCCCATTAATCCCATACAGTATTGAGTTTGTCTGTCATGGATACACTAAATGCGCTGCTTTCAAGGGATGTATCCTCCATGTTGGACAAGGGTTTATTGTTCGTTCATTTTAGTTGCTGTAATTCTGGTTTTCTTTTGCTTTTGTTGTCCACTTAACACAATGCCCTTCAGATGTTGCCTTTTGCCATTTCAAAGAATCTGTCCAATTCCTGAGATTTCCTTGATTAGCTGAAATAATTTTTTTGAGCAGACGTCTTAACATTTCACAATTCATTATGTCTGAGCATTTGTTTTGCAATGTTAGCATACCATCATCACCAATCAGCATCTCCTCTGAATTTATACAATTATGTGTTTTCTTGACAGCACACCAGTCCAGCTTCTCAACTGCTTTAACACAGCACCATCAAGTGTTCGGGTGTTCACTCCAGAAGAGAGTCCTTTAGCCAATCCCTTGAATGCTGGTCATTCCAGCATCGCTCCCCTGCCTTCTCCAAGGGGAAAACCTCTTCGTTTCCGTAGCATATTTTCTGGTGGTATTAGTCCTTTGACACCAAGGTATGGATAATGAGATTAAAGTCCTCTGTGCACTAGAAGCCCTCAGGGACTTTAATTGTGGTTAATATAGGGCTCATGTAACTCCTGCTTTGCACAATGTTCAAATCAAATGTTATCAGTTTGCTCAAGAATGATACATTATACAGAAAAATAACATGGCAAATATATAGCTTGTTAATATTGACAACTTTTGTTTTAAGCATACATAGTGAATATTTAATAAAATACAAGAACAAATCACTTGTGACACTAAATAGTTTGGGGTCTGTAGTCTGAATAGATTTCAAAGAATAATAAATAAACTTTAAGGCTAATTTGGTATGCACAGAATGCTTCTGGATAATGTATATAGGCCAGCAGAATACATCTTTCACTCTAGTTTTATTCCAGTTTAGTACTGATTTTTATCTTACATTTTATCTCTTTGTCGTATTTCATTATTAATTCAACTTATTTATTTGTCAGTATTTTTTTTTATGTTACCTAGTTTTGGAGTTCTGCCACTGGATAGTCCAAGTTTTTGTGACTCTCTTCAGATGGCTTACCTATCACCTACACTTGTGCCATCAACGACACTGACAGAGGCCAATGACCAGAAGAGTCTCGCTAAGCGGGTGAGCAGTCTACGCGCTCATGTAGGGGTACGTGTGACAGAACCGTCCCCGTAGCAAGCTTCCATTTACCAAAGACTTATCCATTATATTTCAGTATAACTTTGTATGGTGGAACCATAGTTAACGGTCGCCTGGAGACATCCTTCTTGTACTGGCTATTGAGGAAAATCTTAAATGGGGCTTTGTGTAAAAATTAAATATAAAATGATTAATTATTGCAATTTCAAAGTCATTTTAGCAGCACACAGTGTCAAAAATATTAAGTTTAACATGTAGAAAATCAGTTCTTTATCACTTTAAAGTATATAATTAGGCCCAATAACTGTTGACTGTTGTAGCTCTGTATAATTGGGGCTTTATAACATGTTCATTATGACCCATCAGCACATACTTATGTGGTGCCAGTTTGTAAAGACTAGCACACACACTCCTTGTTGTTCATCATTTTGCCTGTAGTCCAAAGATAAAAAGACATTTTATGTGGGGGGACACAAAAGATTCAGACAATGTGATGACAAATCCTAAACTTGAACATGGTCTTGCCTTTGAGTTCCTTCAAGCCAAGCAAATTGATGATGCACCACACTTATGTGTGTGATTTCTCCCCACAAACAATCTGCCCTGCCTTCAGGCTTGAGAGCATGCAGGCACAATGATGAGCAGGAGCAAGTGCGTATGACCAGCTTAAGGCAGATTTTCTAGCAGCTTACTGTTTGCTTTACTGAACAGGGGTAGCCAGTAGTACACATAGTTCAACAACTTTGAAAGTGATAGAATGGGGAGATATATCATTAAATTGGTGAAAACAGTACATTTATTGGAAATATGAATGGAACCAGAAAAAGTGAACCATAAATGCAGGAAAACCCTAAATTACGGTTCCTCTGTAGTTTGAAGTATTTACTGCATTAACTATGTTTTGTAAAATGAAGTTATACATTGTGGTACAAGCCAGAAGCATATAGGTTTCATTGTTTGTCTTTTAAATTTTACACTAGAAAAATAATCGGTTAACAGCAGGTCTAATGTGTGCAAGTAACAATAATTTGGTTGCAAAAATTATATTACTGGTGCTCTGTGTATTTAAAAGAGAAAATGTTACTCTGGCTTCTATTATTTTAGAACAAAAATTATTAAACACTGCTTCGAAGTTAGCAGCATAGGTGTGAGCAAGGTCAATAGTTTGGAAAGACAAGAGACGTGCAAGGGAGAAATTCTGTGGAGAAAAATGTATGTATTTCATGAATTCTTTTTCTGATTATTAAAGAGATATATGGAGTGATGGGAACTGTTTGGATCCCGGAATATTATCAGGAATGCAGATTTTTACAAATTATGTATATGTTATGCATTTCCCATATGTTTGTTATATATTGTTATGCTCATATTTAAATAATAATGCTGAATTGTTTTATCTGTAGCAATTAATTAGTCGTAAGGAAACACCTCTACAACAAAGTAAACCAGTATTCAGCCAGTCTGGCAACACTAGCAACACATCAAATATCGTACCAACGTCAAGCCCTACCACACCACAGGCTCCTCTTCAGCCTGGCTCAGTTCGAAGGAGCTCCCGACTATTTAGCAACAGCTATTCCGTTAAGGTAAGTCTTTCATCATTTATTTGGCACTGAGCAGGTTGGTGTAATGGTAACTCTCTACATTTATATTTGCAGGGTGTCTAGTTTGAATTTCAGCTGGGTTGTGATCCATTTTAGACCACTGTTTTTTCCTATCCTCCCTAACATTCCTATTTATAGGTAAATGCATTTTTCTAAAGCTTTACCTTTTTATCTTATTTGACACTATATAATCGCTGCACTTAAAGCAGCATCCCTGAATAACAGAAAATCTGTATTTCAGTCAGTTAGCTTATTACATACATCAGTGAACAAGTATGTTCATCTTCATATGGGTCTTTCCTGTGGACATGTATGTTTTATTGTTTTTTGGCATGTTCTTTTCACTGTGTTCTATAGCTATATGCAAAATTTGTTATTGATTAAATTTGTAACTTGGTTATGTGATGTATCCAGAGGTTCTAAATGTAGGAGCATTGCCTCTAGACTAGACATGTACTGACTGAGATATATTTCTTCTATGAAAATATCATTGTTATCCCCATCATTAAACTGAGGTATTATAAAATAAAACTTTGGAATGTTGTGTTGTTTTTCTTCTTCTTCTTCCTCACAATTTCTGGGGAAATTCTATCAGCTTGTTCTTTCCAGTTTTGTCTGTACTGTTGTATCCAAGCTCCTGTTGCTGGGATTATAATTCCTTCTTTTTCATTTATGTTGTGATTATAAAGGGAATGACTGCTGTCCGTCTCATGAAAAACATTTCACATGACACAAATTTTCTTTCATCAGTTTTTATGCTTGTTTCATTGTCATATGATATCTGTAGACATGTTTTATTTATCACAGGAAAATAACAAAAGTCCAAATAGGAATAAATTTGCAGCACCAAAATCTCCTTCCGGCAAAACAAAGTCTCGTATCTCTAAGACAAATCGAAATAAAACAAACTTCAACGAACTGAATGAGAGAAATCGGAGTGAAAAAGAGAAGACTGAGACAATAACTTCATCAGACTTAAAGATCATTAGTAATAATGGTGGCTCAGTGCACAGTGCAATTCAACAAGCACTACAGATGCAGAAACAGTCTTCAGGTAAGTAACCAATATACAGTTATACAATATTCCATTTTTATTTGATGTGCCAGATTGGAATGCTCTATTTTATCAACATTCAACTCAGCATGTAGCAGAATTAAGCACATTCCACCACCATACACTTTCTACATTTTAAGTCCTGTGTTGCTACAGACATACTATTATTCAGACCCTGGCATGACCTTGTCATAAAGAAAAGGAAGGAGGCTCAGAAGCAAATACCCAGTACTGATTTTTTAAAAAATAAACTCTTTTATTTATATCATGTTAAACAGTATTTGTGAGAGTTTTTTTATTTTGATGCCATATTGTATTTTCTTCATAATACTGGCACCATAAATGACGAAGGGTTAATTTAAGATCTCGCTGTCTCTCCAGGAAAATAGAACATTGAAATAGGCCACATTACCTCCTTTGAAAGTCTTATATAGTCTCCATTCATGATCACCTTCCCATATCATTTAGCAGTCTAACCTGTGGCTGAAACAGCACTGTTACTTAACATTTCTGTCTTGAAAATAATAAAATTAAATGTCCCTTGTTGTCTTTAAAATAATAAGATATACTAGGCCTATGTGCTTTTACTTTGAGTTGTCAGAATGTTTAAGGGATTATTTTATATTCCCAGATCTGGGAAAATGCATTAAGATGTGATTCAACATTTCTGGGAAAACAAACATTTGGCAGCTGTAGTATTTCTTAAAACTTGCATATCCATAGACTGTTGCAACAGTACTTGACGTATAATAGATCCAGTTCTGTATTTTTGAGTCATGACTCAGCTTTTGAGGAAGTTTTGTAGTGATGTAACCTCCATCTTATGTGAATTCATATGTCCATAATAATTATACTGTGAGCAGTTAGACCCCAACATAATGTTTTGTCTGTAGACATTTAAATACGAAATCTTTAAAAATGCATAAGACCATTATTGCCTTCTGTTATGATCAGTCCAATCTACATCAGTTTGACTGACAGCCAAGAAACATCAGTGTCGTGGCATAGTGTACCCTTACACAACTCTTCCATCCTTTGCTCCTTCATAATATTTAAAGGGATAAATTGATAATTATCAGGTACCCTGAAGAGACTTATAATTGCATGGAATCCAGGAAGTACAGGATTTGTAGAACCAGTATGTGGCAGTTGAGGGATAACATACTTAACTGGAGTGTTCTTGAGAAGCCAGTAGTACCCTTAACTTATCAGAGGTAACATAAGAACAGTTTATATTACAGAACTAAAGTGGCTTAGCAAAGAGTCATGCTTGGCTGGTAAATTATGCCAAAGAATTTTATCTGAACAAGTAACAGTCCCTAAAATGTAAAGGCCAGTCATCTTTAATTTGTACAGTTGCAATAAATACTCTGGCCAGATGTCACTTATTATTACCTACATTTTTCTAAGAGCTGTCAATTCATTTGCAGAAGGGTTGATGGCTTTACTTCGAGAACTGGGCACAGCCTACCTCCACTTGTCACAGTTCAATTGCCGAAAAGCTATAGACTGCTTGAACAATCTTCCACCACATCATTACAACACAGGCTGGGTCCTGTCCCTGCTTGGCAAAGCTCATTATGAGCTAACAGAGTACCAACAGGCTGTCAGGTAAATATGGAGATCTTCACCAGCTTGATGTCATGTCTGGTATGACAGACTAACTTAAATATGATATGCCTTTTTTATCAGTCTTTGGTGCATATCAACACAATATTGACATAATGTGCTTGCTGTGGCTCTCCATCCATGTTATTTCCCGTCACTTGACTGACTGACTACCTTGAAATTGTATATTGATGGGATTTGAGGTTCTGATGACTGAGTACAGAAATGGCTGTATTATGGGTTGTAGTGCCGTAAACTTCTATCAGACTGGTGATTTTGTTGATCCACTAACCTGAACTTTACATGATGTTCAAATTATTCTTTATCCATTTTTATAAGAATATATTTTTATACAAAAGAAATGGTAAGTATAAAATATATATCTTATTAAGATCTATAAATTTAATTTAAATTTTTTTCATATATCTAACAAACTGAAAGGAAAAAAGTAATTCAAAACTATCCACAGTGTAATATGCTTACTTCTACTGTTAATTGGCTTTTTCAACAGTTAATTTTTATCTACAAGAAATGAACATCATTATGAATGAGGGCTAAGTGTTACAAAGAATCTCTTTAGAGATTGAGTTCTCCAAATCAGGGTACATCTACATAGGTCACTATATTATAATTGGACAGAGGTGCTCCAGATGCTTAGCTCCCATGAAAATGGCCACCAATACTTGTTGGGTAGGTGATTAGGTGCAGCCACATGTCAGATTGGAAAAAATCCCTACCCCTGCTGGGAATTGAACCCTGCTTATACAGCTTATAACCAATCACTTTGACTGAATTTTGTCACAAAATTCCAGTAAGATTATTGTTTTCTGGGCAGATAATTGAAAGTATGCATGTGGAAAGTGTACGCTGAACTTCCACTGTAGTTTGTGTAGGAATGCTGTGGCTGTCATAATAATGGACTTTTACCTTGTCACCAGGTTTCAATAAAATTAATTGTTGTTTTCTAAATAGATACTTTAGTGAAGTGCGGGAACGAGAGCCTTACAGGTGCCAGTTGATGGAGCTGTACAGCACAGCATTGTGGCACCTGCAGAAAGAAGTGGCATTGTCTGCCCTGGCACAAGACCTACTTGCACATGATCGCCTGTCCCCTGCTGCTTGGTGTGCTACAGGAAATTGCTTCAGTCTCCAGAAGGAGCATGATAGTGCCATCAAGTTCTTCCAGAGGGCTGTACAGGTATAGAAACAGAAGAAAACACTGAAGATCGGAATATATTAAATGATTTTAACATTTATTTTGGGTTTGAAACATGATCTCTTAATTTGTTGGAAGTACATAAATTACAGTCTGCTCAGGAAAATATCTTGACTGAAGAAGTTAACAGTTGATATTACATAATGAGGAATGTTGTGATATATTCAAGTCACCTAGTGATGTTGTTCAGTAGTAAAATTAATAAGTCTGTGATGGGTTGGGCCTTTTTCTGGGATGAGGAAGACAGAACTTTGGTGGGGAAACCTCTTGGAAGACTATGAAAGAAGTAGGAAATTAACATTAAGGTGGATTTTGGGGTACACATTATAAGGATAAGAGGTGGATTAATCTGACAGGATTGTGCCCATTGGTGGGTTTGGTTTAATTTTTCTAGCAGGATACAAAACCGTCATTATTCAGTCAGTCATAATTGAAGATGCTTGTATAATGTGAATGAGAACATGACAGTAATTTATAATGCCTCATAGATTATAAAATGCTGCCAGCCCTGTTCTGTGTTTTTACTGCATGTTGTTGCAGGTGGATCCTACATTTGCATATGCATACACACTCTTGGGACATGAGTATGTCACTACAGAAGAGTTGGATAAAGCAATGAGCTGCTTTAGAAGTGCAGTGAGAATAGATTCAAGGCATTTCAATGCGTGGTGAGTGGTAGAACATACTGTAGAAAGTATATTATTTCTGTGGATGGTAATAAAGGTGAAATATTTTAAAATTTGAGAGTGTTTGTTCGCTATTCACTTTGTGCCTTTTTAATTTATATTAGCACTCCCATTTGTCTCTATATATTGTGCTTTTGAGTTGTTCGTTTCCTTAATTTTTTTCTTATATAATCTGGGATAGCTCAATCAATCAGTGGGTTTTGATTCATGAAAGGGATTTTTCTTTTCCACCACATTCACACCTGTCAATGGGTACTGGTGGTAAAGCAACCAGAGAGTGAAGGTGATTAGTTGCCTCCATATAGTTTGGAAGGCTAGAACACTAGATTTTCCTCCATGGTGCCCATGCTCCTTCATGATGTAGGGCTTGTATGTTGGATGGTTTTATATTTGTAAGATTTGAGGTTTTCACAGCAGTGAGTATGAAGATTTCTGTCTTCTGGGTTGTTGCGCTGTGTAGTCTGGTCAATGTTTACATCAGTGTAAACATCAACCAGACTACACAGCGCAACAACCCAGAAGACTGAAATCTTCAGTTTTATATTTCTCTGTATTTGTCCAATTAAAATATCTTCCAAGTACTACTACAGGTGTTTTGTGATAATCATACAGAATAGTTTTGACCATATTTTATTTAATGTTTGTTCTTTTGTTCCGTACATTATTTTGACAAAATGGATTTTCCATAAAAAATAAAATTTGAATCCATTGCATTGTTTAACCATGTGACAGCTAGATCCTGCATATCCCAGGCTGGTGCAGACCATATTTCATTTAGGATATCACAGTTACTTTTTAATTTTTCTGATGAGATCTCTGTAGCCTGTAACAATTTGTACATAATGTACCAACTTTTGACAACCATTTGATGGCATTTGTGTGTTTCTATCAACATACTGGATTTGGTGATCCAGTATATTTGCAGTTATTCATGACTGAATTATTCAATTGTGTATTATAAATGTATGATTGTTTCTTTCCTGTTTAAAACCTATTCAAAGTACTGAATGTTTATAAGCCACTTATCTTCTTAACACAGTGGTCATTTCTGCTCTACTACTTGAGATTCTTAGGTACTGTACTTTGTATTCAGATTCATTTTACATGTTATTAGTAAGATGTTTTAAAGATAATTTTATGAAGGAGTTGAAATTTTTTTCTCTCTTTTTTATTAGGTATGGTATTGGGACTATTTATTCTAAGCAGGAACGATATTTATTGGCTGAAATACACTTCAAGCGAGCTCTTTCTATCAACACTCAAAGCTCAGTTCTGCTGTGTCACATTGGAGTGGTAAGTTTGTAGTTGCTTAAGAATTTAACTCGTCTAGAATTAACTGCAGATTCATCTGACTGCTCCTGTAGCATTGTTGTTTATTCCAAGAGATCAGTTACTGCAGTTGTGTTTGTGCTCAGCTTGAGATGTCAGTATCTTTTCTTACATGTTACCTAAACTGTTCTGTCTGTCTGTACTGTATCTCCCATCTTTAGCTTACCATTACAATAATAAATCTCAGCTATGTGCACCTGTCAAAAACTTCGACTATATTTAACAGAGACACAGAGTTATATATGAAGTTCTTGTAGGATTTGAGGTTTTCACCGCGGTGAGTCTGAAGATGGCTGTCATCTGGATTGCTGTGCCTAGTAGTCTGGTAGAAGTTTACCGACATTTCAGATTTCCTTGTTGCCTCCATCATCAGGGCGAAGATGGAAGCAGTGAAAACCTCTGAAACGTCAGTAAATTTCTACCAGACTACACAGTGTGACAACCCAGGAGACGGCCATCTTATTCCTATGAAGTTCTTTACTATCGCTGTGAATGCATTAACGGTCTTGCATGGAGTGTTCATTACTGTTTCATTTCATAGCCTCTGCCCTTGTCAGTGAAAGGAGAGAAGTCTGGATGTTTGTGTTATTCTTCTTTTCATCTCCAGGTCCAGCATGCATTGCAGAAAACAGAAAAGGCATTGCAGACCCTGAACATTGCTATTGCCAATGACCCAAAGAATCCGTTATGCAAGTTCCATCGCGCATCTATATATTTTGCAGCAGGCAGACATGCAGAGGCACTTAAAGAACTGGAAGAACTGAAGGAAATTGTTCCAAAAGAATCCTTAGTTTATTACTTAACAGGAAAAGTAAGTAGAGTGTTATTCATTTTGAGGTAATAATTTCCTCTAATAAACAAATTCATTGCATTAGACAAATTATGGAAGCTTGCTGTAGTGTTGTTACTGTCATATCGTGAACACTTTCTGCATGGTTCTGATGTATGTGAAACTTTTCCATTTGTGAAGGTGCACAAGAAACTTGGCAACACACACTTGGCCTTAATGCACTTCAGCTGGGCAACCGATCTCGACCCCAAAGGGGCCAACAGCCAAATCAAAGAAGCCATAGACCCTGCCATGAGTCGCAGTCAGGCTGAGGAGGACACATCAACCACTCATCCAGGTTTGTTACAGTAACACCTTGACCTATTTAAGGTTAGAACAATTGTATTTGTTACATTACATTACCCCCAGAACCTGGAAATCATATTTTGATCACACCTTGAAATGTTGATGTATTAAATTAATTTACTTGTTGCCTAAGTTGCAGGTCTGAATTGACACACGTATGTATGAAACTAGCACAATTCATGATCTCCAACCATTTTTCTTGACATTCAGTATTTTATAAGTAAATAGTGTTTTGAATCTAAAATGTGTGCATGGAAGATTCAGACATAAGTCTCTCCAGGTCTAACCAACTTTATTTTTGTATATCTAGTAATCATTGATGTGTACATGCACAACTTCAGTAATGTATGAACAGAAACTTTGTGAAAGAAACTAAATG